ATTTAACAGATCCTCAACTCCAAAAAACAACTTCAGGTCATTTTACACTCCATCAGAAGGTAAACTTCCGAAGTCAGTAGACTGGAGGCAAAAAGGAGCTGTGACACCAGTAAAAGACCAGGGGCATTGTGGCTCTTGCTGGGCTTTCAGCACTGTAAGCATGTCACTTCATAAAGTTTTTTTTTTTTTTTTTTTAAATTCCCATTGAACTCAATTTTGACATTTCTTTCGTAGACTGGTGCTCTAGAGGGACAATTGTTTTTGAAAACAGGCAAGCTGGTCTCACTCAGCGAACAAAATCTGATAGACTGTTCAGAAGAATATGGCAATGAAGGATGCAAAGGTGGTTTAATGGACAACGCTTTCACTTACGTCCAAGACAACAAGGGAATCGACACTGAATCTTTTTATCCGTATGAAGCTAAGGTGGTAGTCAATTCAATTCAAAAATTTAAGCATCAATAATATACTAAAAAATATTTCCAACAGGAGGGCAAATGCAGATACAATCCAAAGAAAAGTGCTGGTAGTGATAACGGGTTTGTCGATGTCAAAGAGGGAGATGAACAAGATCTTAAAAATGCCATCACCAATGTTGGTCCGGTCTCAGTAGCCATCGATGCCAGCAGCATGTCCTTTCAGTTTTACTCATCAGGTAAATTATAGAAAAAAAATTAAGAACTGTTACAATTAATTAAGGTTTTTAGTTGAGATGAAAAAAAGTTAATGGCACGAGAGGGATTCAAGCCCACGGCCTTCGGCTAGATAAGCCGCTGCTCTACCACCTGAGCTATCTTGACCTCGATCCACTCGGACATCAAATTCCTATCTCAACCCCACCTTATGGGTTTTCCCTCCTTTTGCCATTTTTCATCTCAACTAAAAACCTTAATTAATTGTAATGATTTAATTGGTCAAGCGGACCACAAAATTAGTGAATTTAATGAATTAAAATGAAGTACACTTCACTAAAGCTCTCCGTCGCCATTTCAATTGTCGTCGAGAATCCAAACCGATTACACAACATTTGAAAAATGGCAAAAGGAGGGAAAACTCATAAGGTGGGGTTGAGATAGGGAGTTGATGTCCGAGTGGATCGAGGTCATGGTAGCTCAGGTGGTAGAGCAGCAGCTTATCTAGCCGAAGGTCGTGGGTTCGAATCCCTCTCATGCCATTTAACCTTTCTTTTCATCTCAACTAAAAACCTTAATTAATTCTAATGATTTAATTGGTCAAGTGGACCACGAAATTAGGAAATTAAGAACTGTACTAATGATGCTGTTTTAGGTGTGTATTACGAGCCATACTGCAGTCCAATGAACCTTGACCACGGTGTGTTGGTTGTCGGTTATGGCGCCGAAAAAGACCAGGAGTTTTGGTTAGTGAAAAACTCTTGGGGTCCAACGTGGGGAGAGAAAGGATACATCAGAATGGCCAGAAATAAGAAAAATCACTGTGGAATCGCTACTTCAGCCAGCTATCCAGTTGTATAAATAAATTAAAATTAAAAAATATTTTTTATACAAAACTTTTATCATCTTTTTATTAACCACATCTCATTTGCAATTATTTACCACATTCAGCAAACAAATAACCTGACATCTGTCTAGTTCACCAAAATTATGAATTTAAAGTGCATATATTCAGGTGTGAAATGATTATTTCAATTAATCAAATGAGAAGAATGAAAAAATTAGAACTTTCAAGTCTAGCCCTTCCAAGAACAAAAAATATTAGTTTCTGAATGATGTCATAATTGTAATTTTGGAAAACCAATGGTCCCATTGGATGAAAGACATATTCAGCCCAGAAATATAAATCTATACGAATAGAAGTAAAATATATAGAAATTTATTGATTTATAAAAATAGCAGTTCAATAACAGGTCTATCATCTTAAAACTGAACAGTCAATTTAATCGATTTACATAGAAAAACTTAATAGGGGGTGGCAGTGGCTGCAACAGTGCTCATTGGCAGTATTGGCTTTGACACAGTGCTCATCACTGAAAGATAAAGGCCTCGGGTTCAAATCTGGTGGCCCTGCATTTGAACCCAACATACTTTTTTTTTTTTTTTAAACACTGGCACTCGATGAAATACTCACATGAAAAAAAAAACTTATTACTGTAATTTCAAAATTAATTATTAATTACTGAAAAAGACAGACATGTTATATACAGGGTGTCCCAGAGATGGTGTGGAAAATTTTTTTGCGTGATAGTAGATGTATTAGCCAGGGTGTGTCCCCCTTTAAGAACTGTTGTATCCTATCTATCAAATTTTCTATCAAATTATTAAATTCTAGCTTCCTGTAATTTTAGTCATAATTTTGTAATTAAATCATCCAATAACAGAGTGGCTTGTCTGCTTACTACAACCCAATATCATTTCATTAGAATTTTCCTGGCAAATCTCCCATAACACTCCGTTGATTGAGGGAATAATGAGAAAAGCAGAAGTATACTAATGATGATGATACCCAGGCAAGCAAAAAATCAATTGCTTATAAGTTGATAGTATGATTATAATGATCGGTAATAAATATTTTTCTGTGGGTAAAGCCAAAAAGAGCTCGAAAATTTGATTTTTTTCAGCAATCTACAATATATGGCCTGTCTATATGTCTGGCTTGCAGAGAAAAGTTGCTTGATGTAACTAACCTAATTGAGTGGTGCAAAAGGTGACGGATTGTTAGGAATGCCATCCGATGTGAGAATTGTGCATGAGCATAGCACTGAGTATTTGGGTACCCTTTCAGATTTTGGAGAAAACACGGTTATTGTATGTAGTTCTGAGTATTGTGTCCCTAGCTTGTGTCGAGAGGTTAGTTTTTAATAGATGTAAAGGGTGATGGCAAAGTATGGGAATCCACCACCCTGAGCAAATAGTGTGTAAGTAAGAAAGATTGCATTTAAGAGTGAGTGAAAGTGTGAATGGGTTTAAATGTAGAAAATGATTGCATGGGGAACTGAAATGATCTAGCTGGAGCTAACCTCAGTAACTGGACAGAGAAGACTGAGTGCCAACACCAGAAGTGAGTGTTTTCAAGGCCTGCTTGTAATTTGTTCTAACTTACAACAGCTGGTGGACTGTGGGAATTGATAGACTTAACTCTGTATACATTGCTGTACTTTCCTGCTGAACCTGGAAAACATAAAATTGAAATAGTTGAACAACCGATCAAATTGATATCTAATGTCGAGTTATTTAGTGCTGAAAGGTAAGGCAAAAAGGCCAAAAGTATGTAGCGATGTGGGACATCATACATTGGGATCGCATCAACAGGTGCGCCACACCCGTCTTTACCAGAACACCTGTGGTGTGGAAACTCCCCCGATTTGATTTTCCTTTCCACTCCTAGTCTGGTGGGAAAACGTATGTATAAAAAGGGATGGTTTGGAAATCAAGTCACTCAAGATCTAAGATTCACCCCCAGGCAATGAACAGCTGACTCCCAGAGTAAATCCAGAACAAAATCAGCCTCACTCCATCTGGGAGCCAGCCATGACCAGCATCCATAATCAAACCTCTACCTTACATAGACGATGACTGACAGTGATAAACCTAGAAAACAAATTGCTACATGCTCATGCGACCATGTGTTGAGGTCATAACACAAAGAAGCGCCTGGAAAACTTAATGGAAACAGAAGTAGAAGAAATGCCAGAATAGGATGCAGTTCCAGGTGTGTCAGAAAAAGGAAAATGATCGCTAAAAAACCAAATTATGTCTCCGAAATTTTTGTAAATTTATTTGCGAATCAATTAATTCCTGAATCTCAATTGTCACAGCTGTTTTGGCTTATAAGCCAAAAACTTATGACGAGTGGGCAATTTGGGCCCATGATATCCTTAACGATGATGAGACCGAGGCTATTTTTGATCTTCGTAATGCTGACTTGGAAAAATATTAAATTTGACAGAAGGTGGATCCGAGGACTCATGGGCAGCGAAACTAGAAAATATATCGTCCACGATATATGGAAAGCCGGAACAAATGAAACTTGCGCAATTTTATACAAGAGTGTATAATGGATTTTTTGAATAACTTTGACCAAACGGATTCAACATTCTCTTTGCCCATGTGACACATCAGATCAAGTCAACTGTTGAGAAACTGGTGTCACGACTCAGGAGATCGCGCGACACGGGAACCGTGGAAGTGGGGGCGTGTCCCCCCTTTTTCAGCGGGAAAGGAGACTCCGCCGCAAATTGGCCAATTATCGTTAGATGCGCCAAGGACGTTGTCGGAGAAAGACCTGCTGCGGAGGAGACCCAGTTGAGTGCAGGGTAATAAAAATAAAATAAATCAAGGCATACTTTGAAAATATTTGTTTCTTACAATTGTAATAATTTTATTTCTAACAATATAGAATTACTTTTAGTTTTAACATTTTAATTAAAATCCCTAAATCCGTAATTTTCATGTACCGTACCTTCTTTTCCACCGTCTCGTAAGAGCGAGAAGAGGAGGTCGTACCACAGGAAAGGCACTAGAGATGCTGTGGACGCTGGATATTGATAGACTCATCCTAGATTTTGTTATCATTGACTTTTTAGATTAATTAAGGTTTTGTTGTTGTTTGTGTTCATTTAAAAGATGGAATTGATCTAAATAAAACATTGGAGAATATGCTTTCTGGTTTGTCCAATTATAGAACTTCACCTAAACAAGAATAAGTAGTGAAGCACTTATGCCGAGTACTCTCTTATTGCTTAGAGAAAAGTAAGCAAATATAGAAATATTATTTGGCTGATTACAAACGCATGAGAAGACAAAACCATCGTGAACCACTAACAATTTTACAGTTTGCTTGCTAACAACTTGCTATTCGCAATCTGCTTTCCCACATTTACAAATCGTACTGTTCCATGATTCCGAATATAGAATGGTGCTATTGCCATAATAGGCCTCTAGTTTTGGTAAAATCTTGTTTTACTGTCTTTCATTGTTTTTTGTATTTGATAATATAGCACACAGGTGAAATAAATTTAACAATTAAGACATAATAAACATAGTATATTTACAAAATGTTATGTACAAAAAAACTGAACCTGAAGTATTACCCCTGAGCCTGAAAATTAAAAAAAAAATTAAATATTGTTAAAACTTAATGATAAATTTTATACTTCTAGTTCAACGATGACAGGTGCTTCGTCTCCAGTCTCCAATTCTAAATCTTGAAAATCCCAGCAGAACTTTTCCGTTAACCTTTCCTGAAGGCGCTGGGCCTCACAGCGCAGCCTGCAATAACATCTTGTACGTATAAGAGATTTTCACACATTGTGCGTAGTCTTACCTTCCCTCTATGCTGCTCGACTCGGCCATCGTCTTAAAAAGCTCCCTGAGCGAGACGTAGATGACATTGTTGCTACTGACAATATCGACAAGGAAGTCCTCAGGCACCTGGGCGAGCTGCGTTTCCAATGCCTGTAGAAAGTGCACGTAGAGCTGCCTCCGCCTTGTAACCGCTTCTCGACAGTTACACAACAACCTGACCAGGTTCTTCCAAGCTTCGAACGATTCTAGACTCTGACCAACGAGAAAGCTGACGAATGCGAACTGGATCTCTCCCACGATTTCTCGTGGGCTAAAATTTTTTAGAAAATATTAATTTCGATTACTTCACTACCAAAGTTTATGTTTTCATTGTCAATCACGCTTACTCTCCCAAGTCTCCAATCATGGAATCGAGTGTGTACGACAGGTCTAATGAATGTTTGGTGATATCTTGAGGAGTGGAGCCGTCAGGATAAGTTTTCATAGGCATAGGCGTGAACCTGATTTCAGTGCCGGGGGTCGGCCTGAGTTTTGGTAACAGCTCCTCCTCACGCTCATCGACTGTACGTAAACGCCTTATCAACACAGGCTTGGGGCGATCTTGCATTGAGATTAGCTCAAGTGCAGATGATATTACGCCACATTCTGGTAAAAGCCGGTTCAGAACACTATCTGAAAATTACCTTTATCATTGTTTTTTTCTCTCAATTGTAAATTTTTTTTACAATAATATTTTTAAATCAAATTTCCTGAAACTTTATTCTTTCATTCCCTTCTCCACAACTGTACTATTTTATTTTATGACATTACTTTCAGTTTAACTGCCTGAAAGTTAAATGCAATAAATAGCTTAAGTAAAAAAGCCCGTTTGTAAGTGAGCCAGATCTTTACCTTACAGGAAGATTTTTATTATATTTTATAACAATAAGACCCAGATTATTTCATCTCTCAGGATTAAGAGCCTCACAGTCTACCGGTGACCACAAAATGATACATTTTTTTAGTAAAAAGGCAAACAAAATTATCCAAAAATAATTATTTGATAAAAAGTAATTTTCATTCAATACTTTGAAGATATTGTCAAGTCTGATAGTGAATTATTTACCAGATATGTGTTTCGATAATTTTTGCCAAAGATCGTACGTCTCGAAAGGATATGCTCCTAGGAAATGGTCTAAGTTGAGTAAATTCGTCTTGAACCTGGCCACTTCCTCGTCACTGACAGCTAGAACAAAATGGCCATGATAAAACCTGCTCCAATGTTCGATTTTCTATTATTATTGAAAAAAAAAAGAAAGAAAGAAATTACTTTCTAGACTCATTCTTTCAGAATCGATATCCCATTTTTTCACTAGGACCTCAGACTTCTTGAAGTTGTGTAAAAACGAGACTTTGGGAGCCACGTCTCCGTACTTTCCACTAGCACTGAAATACATGTTAAGAAATTAGAAATGAAATTGTTGCCAAACTTATGTAACATTTTAATTAAAAATGAGTTCTAAATATATTATTACTACACTATCAACTAAAAAACACAAATATGTCTTTATTTTAGACAAAATATTATTATTATTATTTTATCGAAATCAGTAGCTCAACTACACACAAAGAGTTTATTCTGTAATACTTGCAGCCACTTTATTTTGGATATTCTCCAATTTTGCACCCATAAAGGACCTTTTGATGAGTGCCTTATGATAGATTGATTTATAAATTAGCATCGCGAGTTGGGACCTTATCTTGGATTTGGTGTTTATAATAGAATATAGCACACCCAGACGAGCATATCCTTTGGTCACCTTTTTATTGATGGTACTTCCAAAATAGCCTTCTGTCTAAAAGAATGACAGACAATTCCAGGAGTGGATCAGGAACTATCACACTCCATCAAGGATTTAACCAGCCAAAGCCAACAAAGACACCAACCATTCAACCAATTGAATCAAGTCAACGATCGAGAAACAAGAAAGGAGAAAAGCAAGCAAATAAAGAGAAATTATTAAGCCGTCACCACTTACACACTCTTTCTAAAGAGTTAGTGGAGTACTCAATATTCCTTCCAACGAATAATCAAAATTAGGGTCGATGGTGTACTTTTATAAATATTCTGCCATTGACACTAAACACACAGACAGACAGACGGACGGACGGATGGACGGACTGACAGACAGGGACAGGGACAGGACACACACGCACGTGCACGTGCGCGCGCGCGCACACACACACACACACGCACATAGACAGAGCTAGAGAGGCAATGGTGACGCCATGTCACCTTCAGCCCCTCACCACTCACTCTAATAAATACAAGCATTCAATGAACCACAAAACTCATAAAACAGATTGATATACAATTAAACAAAAATCTCAAAAGCGGAACAGCGAACCCAGAAACCAATACTGTGCCTGAGAACCGTTCTTAAATCTGCCTACACACTCTTTTTAAGGAGCCAAGGCATGACAAGCTTATGTGGGACACATGAGAAACTTTTCTCTGTGTAAGGGTCTTAAAATTAATGTGTTTGCAATGACTTTTACTTGTAATGCTATTTGTCAGATCAAAACATTGCGATTGTCAAACAAACAAAAGAGTGCAATGTTCTAGCTCTTTTTTATAACTGATAAAATAAATAAATAATCAAAAGTGATTTTACCTTGAGAATTCAGTAAACAATTAGACAATGAGGCATCATGAAAAAAAAAATCTTTATGGCTGAATAAACATTGTCAATTATTGATCAACTTTTTGAATTGAATTGGAGGATGAGGCAGTGATGCTCATCGATACTATGACGCCCAATTTCAGGGATTCCCTTAACCCAGAGTTTTGACAAGTGCCGTAACATCTTTAGATATTAAGTAATACGTGGAATAAAATAATACTCAATCTTTAAAAATGACATTCTGACAGATTTGGTAAACAAATGATGCAGCCACTTCAAAAATTCTGCCATTTATATTTGCCTGAAGTAGTGCAATTGCCATTCAACCGAAAACCCTCACAGAGACAACAACAGAAAGTAAGTTTTCTTTTCTTAAACAGCTTAATGTTAACTATGAAGAAATTTTAATATTCTCTTTTAATTAGTAAAACTTTTGGAAATAAGTGCATGGACATAAAGTTTTCATCCTGAATGTAAAACAAATGATTGAATTATTATTAAACAAATAATTATATTAAAAGCCTAATTAATAGTAAATAAATTTAACCAATAGTTATTTGAATAACCAAACAGATTAGTTTATAAACGAAGTAATAATAGTTATATTCAATTTTATGAATTTAATCATTTGAATTTCAACCAATTATTTAAAAAAATTAAAATTTTATTTTATTTAATTTATAAAGTGGATATTGAACAATGAATCTAGAAATAAGAGCAAACTAAAATATTTACAAGTGATGACTTTATTATTTAAAGTTACATTTTTTTATTATAGAAATGTCAAGGTTTGCCATATTACTTTTATTTGGAGTGGCTGCATTGGAGGCTTTGCCGCACGACTTTTTCTTACAAGAATGGGCACAGTTCAAAGTAAGTGAAGTAATATTTTATTAATTTTTTAACTCATTATGCCGTCTGTTGCTAGGAAGAGCACGGAAAAGCCTACAAGAATTTGCTAGAAGAGAAATTTCGCAAGAATGTCTTCATCAGTAACAAAATGAAGATTGACCAACACAACGAGATGTTCAGACAAGGTCTGGTCACATACGACATGAAAATGAACCACTTTGGAGACCTTGTAAGATGACAATTTGATTTAAAGAGTTAGTAATGAATAACGCGTGATGACTTATTTTTAAATTATTTATATTTTAGCTTGAACATGAGTTTAAGTCTCTGTTCAATGGATTTAACAGATCCTCAACTCCAAAAAACACTGTGTCATTTTATACTCCATCAGAAGATGAACTTCCAGAGTCAGTAGACTGGAGGCAAAAAGGAGCTGTGACACCAGTAAAAGTCCAGGGGCATTGTGGCTCTTGCTGGGCTTTCAGCACTGTAAGCATGTCACTTCATATATATATATATTTTTTTTTTTTTTTTTTTAAATTCCCATTGAACTCAATTTTGACATTTCTTTCGTAGACTGGTGCTCTAGAGGGACAATTGTTTTTGAAAACAGGCAAGCTGGTCTCACTCAGCGAACAAAATCTGATAGACTGTTCAGAAGAATATGGCAATGAAGGATGCAAAGGTGGTTTAATGGACAACGCTTTCACTTACGTCTATGACAACAAGGGAATCGACACTGAATCTTCTTATCCGTATGAAGCTAAGGTAGTCAATTCAATTCAAAAGTTTAAGCATCATCACAATACTAAAAAATATTACCAACAGGAGGGCAAATGCAGATACAACCCAAAGAAAAGTGCCGGAAGTGATAATGGGTACGTTGATATTAACGAGGGTGATGAAGAAGATCTTAAAAATGCCATCGCCAATGTTGGACCAGTCTCTGTAGCCATTGATGCTTCCAACCCATCCTTCCGGTTCTATTCATCAGGTAAATTATAAAAAAATAATATATCAATTTATGATTTCTGCTAATGATGCTGTCTTAGGTGTGTACTATGAACAATCCTGCAGCCCAATGGACCTTGACCACGGTGTGCTGGCTGTCGGTTATGGCGTCAAAGAGGGACAGGAGTACTGGTTGGTGAAAAACTCTTGGGGTCCTATGTGGGGAGAGAACGGATTCATCAGAATGGCCAGGAATAAGAAAAATCACTGTGGAATCGCTACTTCAGCCAGCTACCCAGTTGTATAAATAAATTAAATAAAAGTGATATTTATTTTGGCAAAACTTTAATATTTTTATGAAACCACATATCCTTTGAAACTAGTTATTACATTCAGCAAAGAAATAACCTGATGTTTGTATAACAGACAAAAATGATGAATATAAAATGCACATCTTCAGTATGTGATCTGAAATGGTCAAATAATTGAGCAATCAAATGAAAAAACTTGAAGTTATTTTGAGCGTGGAAAGTTTATCCACATCCTAGCCCCTCCATCAAGAAAAATATTAGTTTTTGAAAGTTTTCACACCTGTAATTTGGAAAAACATACTGAAACTCTGAATAAATTCAGTGCCCTGGAATGCTAAGGCTGCCATATTCAGAGTGTTCAACTGAGCTATTTCGTACTAGGCAGCTCAGTATAGGGTTATGCAGAGTATACTGTAGTGAAAGGCGTGCTCTACGCATTTATCCATGCCTCACTACATCCTCAACGATTATTCAGAAATTGTGAGATACGGTCTGGTGTGATGTAGGTTTCAGAAAAACATTTTCTTTATCGTGCCAACGTTTCGATCTTTATTGAGATCATCTTCAGGGCCTGGGATTTACAAACATTGTTTACATTTAACAAATAGATGTAGGATGTGGAAAAAAGTGAATTTATACAATGCAAAAAAAAATTTTTTTTTAATATTCAATCAAAATATTTCTACTCACTTAAAGTGTTTGTTTTCTGTGTAATTGTGCCATTCTTGCGTGTCGTGTTGAGAGTGCCAGTGAGATATTGCTGTTTTATGTTTATATATTAATTTAAAAAGGGTTGTAACAAAAAATATATTTTTATAAAGAAAACTAAAAGAGATAACATTTGATTTTAAAAGTTATGTTAAAATATTAATTGTATTTTCTAATTGGTGGTCAAAAATTAATAATAATAATAATAATAAACAGAATAAAAAAAATAAATAAATAAATAACAGAAGACAAACACTTTGAGTGAGTAGAAATACTCTGATTGTATATAAAAATATATTTTGCATTGTATAAATTCACTTTTTTCCACATCCTACATGTATTTGTTAAATATAAACAATTTTTGTAAATCCCAGGCCCTGAAGATGATCTCAATAAAGATTGAAACGTTGGCACGATAAAGAAAATGTTTTTCTGAAACCTACATCACACCAGACCGCATCTCACGATTTCTGAATAATTATCGACTAACGGTCACTAATCACCACACACTTTGAACTTTATCACATACATGTTTAAAAAATAATGACTTCTATTTGAATGCTGATGACCTAGTACTAACATCCTTTCTGCTACAAAAACACACTTATTTATTATTTTAATGGATGTTCATATGCAGATTGTTTGGAAAATGGATATAATAAAAAATTAATTATGTTATGTACAAATATATTTCAAAAATGCTATCTACAATGTAATATAACTAAGATTCAACAGCTAGACAAATATAATTTGTATGATAGACATTATTGAACTGTTATCTTCATAAATTTATAAATTTCTGTCTATTTTACTTCCATCCATCCTCTTTCGTCCAGTGAGACCAGATTTTGAGTAGAATAGAATTTTTGTCTATTGTATTGTAGTAAGTATTACATACCCAAAGGGGGTGATATCAGGCACTTTGCATTACAAGTAGAGCATAATTTGAAATAGAAATATGATTGTTTCAAAAAATCACAATGAGGTTTGGCTCCTTTACAGTGAGTAGATAAATATAAAATAATTAAATAACAAAAAGGTTAAATGCAAGAAATAATAATTAATGAACAAAATTTGATTACATTAATATAGTTGAAAATAGCAGGCTAAGCGAACTTGCTATTAAGTAGCACTCTAACACAAGCTCAGGTAAACATTAGTACTCAGATTTTTCAAAATTTAATTATTTGTTATTCTATTATTTTATTTATGTACAGGATAAGGGCTGAAGATGCTTACAATGTAAGTGAAAAGCTTTCTGAATAATCGAATAAACAGTTGGAACTAAAGGCTTTATTGATATTCAATCTTTGATCGAAACTCTCACCTTATCTTCTATTCTAAAAATGTCTCTGGGGGCGTCGGTGGCCGCAACAGTTTAGGCGTTGACACGGCGCTCATCACTGTAAGGTAAAGGTACTGGGTTCGAACCCGACATACTTACAAATGTTTTGTTTTTTTTTTCAAAAAAACCGGCACCCTGAGGGTTGATATGACCTCTGCTGTTGCAAACCCCCCCCCCAAAAAAAAAGCCTCTAATGGTAAGCATCCCTTCAGAAGGATATGCAACTTGTATGATGTTTGACAGCCTCTTCATGTTTAATAAGGTGGAAGTTTTAACAACACCAGACAGGCCATTGTTGGCATTTTACTCAAGGCTCCAGTGTCACTAAGCATGCCTTAGGCGGGTTTATTGCAGAAACATTAGCTACATGATTTTTATTTTAAGACAAATGAGGTTCATACCGAAGCGACAATACATGAGCCAGCCAGCCAATCACAAAGCCAATGTCCTCACTCTTTGAATTCGCCATTTTTATCGTATGACAATGAAGGAAGAGACAAGCAGGCCATGTATCTTATGACGTGGTCGTACAGGTGTGAACTAATTTTATCATTGCTTCATGTTTTACAGGTTTGAGCGTTGTGTATCTTACATGATAATTATTGCATATCACTTACGACCTAAATATGAGTGTCTTATGGCTCTGGTGTGAACATTAGACTGATAGCTTGTTCGCTTAGTCTGCAAAGGTCTTGGTAACCCGTATGACAACACTGATCTTATGACACAGGTGTAGAGCCATAGGGTCATATTGTGGTTTAATCACAAGTTTTTAGCACAGAGCTTTCTGCACTTCCACCAAGCAATATTGGCTCATAAAGTATGTGCAGTATTATATAAAACTAATTACCTGTAGTGGATCATGTGTACGCCTGGCGGTATCATTTTGACCCCTTTGAACTTTTCCCCTGTGTCCCACATCTTCATGTCGATGCCGAACTGCGTCCCTTCGGGCACGTTGAGAAAAAAGAGTGTCGCCCCTTCGACGAGTAGACGACGGGCCACTTCCGGGCTGATGACCACTTCCGGCGAGGAAGAAGACATTCCGATCACAAACTGGAAACTGGAAGCTTCCAGTTAACGGAAGAAATAAACAACAACAAAACCAGCCTGTTACCTTCCGAAGAGCTTGATAAACAAATAAAGCTTGAGGTTACACACCGGTTATCGCTTGAATTCAAATTCAGTAACATTTTAAACATTACTATGGGGAGCCGATGGTAAAAGACTATTAATTATGTTAAAATTTATGTGTTTTAAGGTTATATGAAAATATTTTCATAATGTAAAATTTTTACATCAAATGAAAAAAAATTATTATTTTGCGTGGAACAAATTGGTCAAACTTGGTATGCGCCTCCAGTTAGCGGTAAATTTAAATTTGAATACATTTTACTTTTTGTTAAATATAGATCTACTCACGGATTTGTTGCTTAGAACGATCCTATTTTAAGGTAATCATCCTTTATTAATTTCAGATTACGAAAGACATATTTGTACAATTGATTTAACAATTGTTTTTCATCATATATATAATACAATTAATTAAGGTTTTTAGTTGAGATAAAAAAGTCAATGGCACGAGCGGGAAAAAGTTAAAAAAGTGCGGTTGAGATGGGAAGTTGGTGTCCGAGTGGATCGAGGTCACGATAGCTCAAGTGGTAGATAGCGGCGTTTCAAGCCGAAGATCGTGGGTTCGAATCCCGCTCGTGCCATTGACTTTTTTATCTCAACTAAAAACCTTAATTAATTGTAATATATTAATTGGTCAAGCGGAACACGAAATTAGTGAATTTAACATATATATATAATATACAAATAAACTCTAAATCATGAATACATCGATGCTTCAAGTTGCAATCGATTATCCCTTGACACGCAATATTAAAATATATGTCGGTTATTATAACAACAGTAAGTTATAAATATTAAAGATGTGACTCCGGTACTGCATAAAATCCTTCTAAAAACTGACGTAATTCGAAATAGCCTACTTTTTCTGATAAATACTCACACCATTGCTTTAAAGCTTATTTTTACTTACTTAATCAACATATGGAGGGTATGGAGACCTTCACCCTTATGTAATCAACATATATTTATATAATTGTTTTCAAATATTATTTATATTAACCACGTCTGTACTTTCTCTCTCTCTCTCCCTCTCTCTGTTTAGCTCTTTCTCTCTTTTTTCTTCATTTCTTCCTAATTTGATTCTATTGTTTATATATTTATACTAATTATAACTGGATGATGATTCAAAAGATGCCCAAACATCGAGATAGTTTAGGATTATATTATTTAAACCACAACTTTCACCTTTAAAAATTGACGTAATTCTAAATAGGCTACTTTTCTTGATAAATACTCACATTAATGCTTTAAAGCTTATTTTTACTTACTTAATCAACATATTTTTATGTAATGTTTTCTAATATTATTTATAAAAACCACGTCTGACCTTCTCTAAATCTTTCTCTCTCTCACTCTCTCTCCCTCACTCACACTCTCTCTCACTCTTGCTCTCTTTTGTCTTTATTTCTTCCTAATTTGATTTTATTGTTATACTAATTATAACAGGATGATGATTAAAAAGATGCTTAAACAACGAGATCGTTTAGGATTATATTATTAAAATCACAACTTTCACAAAAATAGGGGTCATAAATAGAAATACAAATTATCCGTAATGAAAAAATACGATGTGAAAGAAAAGATAAAACGATTAGGTCGTACTGTTTATTTTCAGTATTTATTCACAATTTGTTTAATAATAAGTACAAAACTTTTTAATAAAAGAAAAAACCAAAAAACCAAAAAGAGAAAGCGAGAGAGGAGAGAGAGAGAGAGAGAGAGAGAGAGAGAGAGAGAGAGAGAGAGAGAGAGAGAGCGTGATAAAGAGAAAAAAGAAAATGATCATAATCGTGATCACGGCGCTTCGCGATGCTAAACCTTCACAACCGATCCGTCAAGCGGGGTTACATTCCATTCGAACTGGTTGGTAAAGAAAATTTTTTCACCGATCTTACTTTCCTGCGAGTATATAAGACACTGTACCAGCAGAGCCTATTTCAAACTGAAATATAAACTAATACTATTAGTGTAGAAGCTTTTAATTTGGACAATTTTATGGCATAATAGAAAAGTACAAAAGTACAATGTAAACGAGTGTGCAAAGTCGAAAGTCCAAGAAAAGTTGTTTAAAATGACTTCAGTTTCATGAACAGTCTTTCAAAATGCAAATATTTTTACTTACCCATCAGCATATTTTTATGTAATAATTTTTTAATATACAATATAGTAAAATATGTTTTTATTTAAATATTTACCATAAAAATGGTAAAAGTGATCTTTTAATGTATATTTATGTAAAACATACTTTTAAGCTATTTTCTTACTTAAAATATTGTTTAATAATTAAGTAATTTTTCCTTTGTTTTCTGAGTTTTACTTTTATATTCTTATATTGCATATATTGTATGTTTCTATATTTAAACATTTTCGTAAAATATATTATTATTATTATTTACGCTAAAGCGACGTTCCGATGAGAGGCTGGTTTTTAATGTCGCTCAATTTTGAAGTCCGTAAAACGTAAATTACGACTCTACTAAATATTATCTTAATAAATACTGTAAGAAAATTATTTTAAATAGGTAATTAATTTGTATGTTCAATATTATTCAGGTAACCTTTAAATAAGAGGTAAATGAACATCTATTATCTTATTTACGCATTTATTTCAAGGTTTAATTTTACATTTGTTTTATTGAAAATTTTTCACACCAATCTAGTTTTCTCACTTTGTTAAAACTGTGTAACTCTTTTCTATTTAAATTGAAACTGTGTTTTATTTCATTTAGATGGTCTTTAAATTTAAAAAATTGGCTCGATTTAGGCAAATGTTCTTTATATCTCGTTTTAATTTCTTAAAAGGAATTAGTGCTAAATTTTTCATTAAAATGCAATGAGTGAAAACTTAGTAAAAGAAAAATAGGACAATACAGTGTTAATAATAAACACAAAAAAATTAAGAACATACTAAATAATTAAAACTCAGTGCAACTCAGGGATGGGTTTTTGTAGTCTAGTTTTTCCAATATTTCAGTTGTAAGATATTATATATTCTTTATTTATTTAAGTCGAGAGGTAAAGTATTAGTATTGGTACTCTTTTTTATTACTTCTAAATATTTCTATACATTTATATGGACGGTAAATAAATAAATTTGCTTGTTATGTAAGATTGTTTTAATTTCTCTCTTTCTCCTATATTTAATATTGCAATCTTTATATTTACATTTGTAACCCCCGCGTTTTGATAAATTTTCAACCTTGTCTTTAAGTTTTGGGAGGATGGTGCTAGGCAAACATACACCTCTAAAACCTACTCTAAAACCTTCTAGTTTAAGAATTTTACCTATTTTTTATGATAATGACCAATGTATGGCAAGCAACGAAAACCTAACGATTCATTTTTGGTGAGATGGCTTAGATTATTGCTTCATTTAAAGTTAATTTTTTTATTCATTTTACTAGCTACCTATTCCTTAATATTCTTTTATCTATTACCGTGTGCCTTAGTCAATTTGGATTGAGTACATCTCTCGATTGCAAGAACTTCAGCTTGGAAGATACTAGTGTATTTTTATTTATTTATTTATTTTACTTATTTGCAGAGCCCATTTAGTACTTATAAGAAAAAAGTGAAACAATAGTAAAAATATACATAAATTTAAATTAAATTATACATATGTTTTCTTAATAATATTAACAATTAGACTAAAAATATTGAAAAAAACTAATCGAATTACAATTGCAAATATAAGAGAGAATCTTAGCATTACTTAAAACTAAATTAAATATAATATAGTAAGTAATAGAAATATATAAAATTTAAAAAAATATATATATACCTTTATAAAAATATAACGGAGAATAATATTGCTTAAGAGAAAATAATAAAAAATACAAAAAAGTACAAAAAGAAAAGAGTTGCAGGAGATTAATTGATTGAGCAGTTGAAAAAAATCTATTCGTGAATTATTGGCATCTTTCAATATTCCGTTAACTCCAGTGAATTTGATAAAATCGGCTTTTAGAAAAGGAATGGCAGGATGTAGTGGTGTAATTTGGGACATCGAAGGAAATAGAATGAAGGAGGTCTGGACAATACTATGGAGGAATTTATGGAGGAAAGTAAGATTTATTTGTTCTCTGCGAGATGAAAGTGGCCTAATTTGAAAAAAGTTGCCTAAGATGAGAAGAAGATGAAGTAGAGGGAGATAGAGTAAGTAGGTCGATGTGGGGTTTATAACCCAATATCCTTAGGAATTTATCCTGAACCTTAGATAGATAGATAGATGTAATAATTCAGGGTATGGTATACTGCGCCCTTTAAGAGCTATTGTATCCCCTGTGCTCTGCTTAAAGCACATCGGTGAGTCCTATTTCATCAAGAAACTTGATTAATAGGCCCGGTTTCAGTGGTTGTAGTTCTTTTATGGTCACATTGTACATCCCAAAACACTTCCTCCTGCGGGCTAGTGTAGCTCCGCAGTTTGTTAGTAAGTGTGTTGGTGTCTCTTCTGCTTCTTTGCACAATCTACATGTGCCATCTTGGATTATTCCAATTTTCTTTAAATGTCCATTTAATCTACAGTGTCCTGTCAGGAATCCTGTTAGGATTCGCAGTCTGTTCCTGCTTCCTTTGACACATTCTGTGATTTCTTTCTTGCCAAAGTTGGTTAGAAAATTCTTGGATTGTCTGTGTCCAATATCCTGAACCTTTTCTATTTGATTAATATTTGAACCAGTACAGGGAAACCAAATCGAACTGCAATACTCTAACTTACTTCTAACGAGGGAATTAAAAAGAGTTTTAAGTGAATTTATATTTTTAAAATTTTTCGTGTTTCTTGAAATAAAGCCTAATAGTTAATTGGTCAAGCGGACCAAGAAACTAGTGAATTTAATGAAGCCTAATGTTTTATACGATTTGGGGCATATGCTTTTTATGTGAGAGTTAAAAGAGAGAAAGGAATTAAAAGTTACGCCCAGGTCAGATATTTGATGGACAACTTTGAGCTGTTCACCTTGAAGACAATAATTTATATTTTCCCATGGG